GTTTTGTTTTTGCTAATCGTTTTCGTACTTAAATAGATATAGATTTTAGATGTTTTTGCTTGTAATACGCCTTACTRTAATCCATTCCCGTCTACCCAAAATAGGCCAGTTTTGCCCAGTCTCCCAGCGACAGATTAGCACCTAGTYTCCCATTCGTTTTGGTCAAGAGTTATATATCCAGTAGTTATCATTCTAAGCTAAATATAATGCCTGTATTTGCTTTTTTATCTCTAGTACTGGAGCAATGTAAGGAGCAGCATGACATAGCGTTTGTATTGGATTCTTCTCGATCCATGGTCGAGCAGGGACTGGTAATGGCCCAGTCTTTAGCCCTCAATGTGGTGAATGGTTTTAGTGTCGGTGAAGACAAAACACGTGTTGGTCTCATAACCTTCTCCGAGGAGTCTCATATTCAGTTTCATTTTGACACGTATTACACGAAAGAGGAAATATACTTGGCCGTGACGTCACATGATGGGATAAACTTCACCTCTGCAAGGTATGGAAATGGTGATGATGGTGATAACAAGAACGATTGATACTGCTAACTCGAGAATCATTTGTTAACAAAATACTCACGGCAGACTTCAAATCAGCTCCTCTATCGGTATCCTCCAGAACAGTTCCTCTTGGGACTCAGTGTAAGGGGATTATTAGGGTTTGGGACATTGCATTTGATGAGAGGAAATAGAACTCTTTACCTTGATTGAACGTAACGTTTTCCCATTTCAAACTACACGTAATTTCCAAGAGTATAACTTCTTTGTTTAATGAATGCGCATGCGGAGAAGACATGCACGTGAATATTAAACATGATGGTTTAGCGTGGTACGTCCTCTTATATACCACGATGTGACGTCAACGGTTGGTCAAATTTAGTAATATACCCATTCGGCTAAGCCTCGTCGGTACATAGCATTTTGATCATCTGTTGACGTCATATCGTGGTAAACRATATTATTATGAAGAAAATAACACGTGGTMTGAAATAGGAAAATATTATTCTTTGCTAGGTGGGTGGATGGAATGGGTCCATTAACCAGTTTATATTGCGCGTTTCTTACAGTATTGATAAAGCATACAAAGCCATAGAATTACTGTTTAGTTCATCGTTTGGGTCCAGGCCAGACGTCAGTAGGTTCGTGGTGTTTATTTCTAATGGACTATTCACAACTACCAACATGACCAGCGGTCTTTCTGGCATGCTGGATCGACTTAAAGTAAGTACTGACACGGTCTTACAACCTTGCCCTGAATTGATACCCCTTCTCCTTGCACCTTGGTATTTAAGTGCTCCCCCAAGGTCCCATCGTAACCCCAAACGCTTTCCTCGATAGTACATTAATAGTCACGTGTATCGCTATTTTAAGGAAATGAAGGTCAAGATTCTAGTGGCTGGTGTTGGTATAGAGGTCAATAAACCACGGCTAGAGAAGGTGGTCGATGACAAGATCAAAGATGTCGTGACGGCAGAGGAATTCAATGCTCCGATGCTCATACAGAGAATCCGCGAACTAACTGATGAGTTTTGTCAGATGAAAATGAACCCTAAGGATTAAACAATAGAATCGGCTGCATCTTATTTAGAAAAAGGTAAAATCCCATCCCATCCCATCCCATCCCATCCCATCCTCCGTTCATTCCACTCAGCCATTTCATTTATCCATTTATCCCATTTCTTCATTCCATATATCTATCTATCCATCTAGCTAAACATCTATTTAAGCCTTCCATCAAACTGTTCGATATCATTGGTCCCATCTCATYCCAATCACCCTTCCTTCAGTTTCCGTTCATCCATGTCTTGTTCTATCTGTCTAATCATGTGCTTTTCCCCCCAGAAAACGCATCGCTTCAATCAAGGTTTACTGTATTTGATAGTTTTAGACAATAAAATACATCTTGTGTTGGTTACCGTGTTCAATGTTTTTAGGATTTTTAAGACCTGTGTTACCGCGTGAAATGTGAAGGGGATTGGTACTAGGCTGTYTAATAGAGACGCAATCTCGTACCCAGAGCCCTCCCGCGCCTTCCTATCATCATCTTCGCTGTCCCAGGCACTGACAACAGGAAGGCGCCGGAAGACTCTGGGTACGAGATTGAGACGAGGGAGATGATGAACTAGCAGGACTAAGAAAAAATGGTTTATTTCCCAAATTCGACCCTGCTTGCACTTCAATCATCGGAGAATAATTTGTCAGCTAGTGTTATTGAAATTCTTAAATTAGCGTGCAAATGATGACAATGTCTTTATCSATTAAGAAGAAAATGTATCCGAACAGCACCAAATATAAGACACTTTTTAAAATCGATTGCCAATAAAGATAAGAAACATGAGACAATGTAGTTATGTGTTTCTAGTAGGGTTGACATATAATGGCATAAAAGTTTGATCATTAAATGTTCAGACGTCTAAGTTATTCGAAGATCGATCGAAGTCTTTGATTGCAATCGCTTAACGACCTGCTTCAAATAGCAGCTAGTTCATCAGTAGACTAATGTTCGAGAAAAATCTTATTTGWGAATCATTTTTGCAAATCTAGTACAGAGAAGCAATATAACACAGAGGAAGAAAAAGATCAAGAAATTTTCGCGAATTTTCTCTCTAGTCGAGCCTCAACACAACTTCGAGCTTGTTAGAATCACGTGACCGTAATGAAACCGTTGCCAAGGTTACACATGACCAGATGTCTTTTTTTTATTCCTTTACTTGCTTTTGTTTCCTTATTCTGCTTGGAGCTTAAGTGAGATTACAACTGGGACCTGCGGTGCTGTTTGTAACAATTTTGATATCATAGTAATAAACTGTTTAAGAAAAGAGCGCCTTTGACTTAAACGAAAAATCTTGAGATATCTTCAAATGAGTAAAGAAGGATTTCTTGTAGCTAGACAAACACGTACCTCACCGCCCGTCTTCCGCGATCAAACATCCAAGAAAATCCCTGTCAATTTCCTGCTAACTTTTGTTCTTAAGTTTTACACAAATAAAGTATAAAGAAACAATGGAATGGTATGTTGTAATTTCCTTTGCAAAGATAACCGCAAAGAGTCTCTTTCATTTACAAACGAATGTATTACTTTGTACTCACTGTATTAGAGGTATCAAAGCATAAAAAGTTTAACTAGATATGATTCTAGCTTCTTACTGTCCAATTCTGGGGTTAAAATGACCCTCTACATAAAAGTTGCAATCCATGAAAAAAGTCTACTTTGGACAAAGAAGTGAATAGCATAGATAAGACAGCAGTAGAATGTAGAGGTACTTCAAAGGTTTAGATTAAGTCGGGGAGTTTTTGTGGATAATATGCCGCTAATCTACCTTCAAATGAATGTTTTTTTTTATTACAATGAAAAGGGAATATTCTCTCACGCTCACTAAATATTAACATTGACAACAAAGTCACCGATAGCAGAAAGAAAACATGCGCGCGCGTATTCCAATTTTGAGAGTCTTTTTTCATCTTATTTAGTTTATTTAAGTTTTTCTATACTCTTATTTCGCTTATCTTCCTTTTCCTTGGCACCCCTTTACAAAACAAAAACAAAAAACAACAACAACAACAACAAACAAACAAACAAAAAACAACAACAACAACAACAACAAATATATATATATATACAAGAACTTTTTACATGTATACTCCCCTTAAAAGTCACAATATTTATCTTAAATATAATAATTAACTCAACCCAACCATTAGTTCAAACACAGGCTACCGGTATATAAAGAATAAAATAGCGTGATAAAGACAATAATCAAACAAAGGCAAATGAAAGAAAAGGATTAAGTCCTGCCCGTCAGAGTGARGCGGATATGTTAGAATGGCTGAAGTATCGAAAAATTAATCATGGTTTCGTTTAACTGACTCGGATTTTCCGGTATTAAAATCTCGAAAATTCTCTGTCCCAATAAAATGGTTTTCAAATGTTTATCTCTTCTGATCTAATCATTTTATCAAGGACTTTAAAATATCGAGGTTTAATTTTCTGTCAGAGAATATCGCGGATCCGTCAAGCTTAAGTCAAACTTTTATCAGATCAAATAGGACATAAATACTGTGATGTGCAGAAATTTTTTGGTACGTGCTTAAAGTTGTGCAGGGGCTGAAGACGATACATGCTGTTGAAGGTAAGTAACGTGGACTAGATGTTCAGTTCAAGTGACTTTACCTTGTGAAAAGACATTTTTTGAAGTACAAATATTTTATTATACTATTGAATTCAAGATTACGGATACTATTTTATCATACTTATAGGTTTTTGGTAAATTTCTAAAAGAGTAAATTCAGTCTCAAAGTTGAAAATTCCATTTCAAGATGGCGGCATTGCAGGTGTTCTCAGCGTGGATCCTCCTCCTTGTCTATGTCCAAGGTAATCAATATTTCTTCATTCAAGTTTTTTGCGTTTGTTACTATTTTTTGTATATATCTTTAAGATAAACCTGTTTTTACTGACTGCTTTATTCCAGGGTCCTTGGCTTGCAAGGTGGATTTCGAGAAGGTAGGATGTTACCGTGATGTAACCAGGCCGTTACCTGAGCTGATCATGACAGATCGTGACCCATCCGACAAGGAACGCTATTCTGGTATTATGTTCGATTGGAGAGACTTTGAAGGATCAACTAGAAGGTTAGGATGTGTTTCACTAGATATTGACAGCTAAGGACGAGCGTGCTGCGCATGCGTGCCTAAAGGACTAAACTCAACGAAGTGGGGACCTGCGATCTTTTTTGTAGTACCTCCGGAATTGGGTACCTAAAAACGAAGTATAACACACGGTACCTAAAGAAGTGGGGCCGACAGACCTGGGAACCAACAGAACTGGGTACCTACCGAACTGGGTACCCACAATAATGGGTGGAACCTACAGGAATGGGCTATTTAATAACTGATCGAACTGGGTACCTACAATACTAGGCACCTAAAAGAGTGGGTACCTATACAGGGATGGGAACCAACGGGAAGGCCTAATTGAATATCCAAAGGACTGGAACCCTGCATGGAGAGCTGGGTATTTAAGATACTTGGTAGTACCCCCGAAAGGACTGGGTATCTACATGAAAAGGTACTTAACGAAATACATTTCAAATCCTACCGAACTTTGGGGAGCTAGAAGATTGGGTACATACATAGCTGGAGAATTATGGGACTGGGTACCTACAGGATTGGGTATCACCGGGTTCCTACAGGATATTTACAGGACCCAGTGGTGATCCCGCGGGACGCACGTTACTAACCTTTGTATACCTGTATTATCCACAGTTTGATATGCCGATGCGCAGCCTTGGCACGATCAAGGGGATACCGTTACATTGGAATCCAGTACTATGCCGAGTGCTGGAGTGGCAACAATCCAAACTTCTCACGTGATGGTAAAGCTGACACCTGTATGCAAAGCTACAAGTCATTTGGCGAAGTGATCTGTGACTTTGATTCACCGATTGACTGTGTTGGAGAAGCAAAGACGAACTTTGTTTACGATCTGCTTGGTAAGTGCCATATCTGTTGGTAACCATGCCGAATGATCACATGACAAAAAGGTATGCTTCTTTTTGAAAACAAATCTGTTTTCCTTGAAGAATGAAAATTATCCGTAAGAGCAGGATGTTAAACAGGAATTCAACTCATGCTCACTCAACTAGATTGTGTGTTTTTTTCCTACAGTCTTCGTAAGCTTTTCCGCGAGTGTGCGCGTTGAAAATGGCAAAGCTCGTCTTGCGCATGGCAGTATTATGCGCACTTCACCATACAACAGCGACACTAGAGAAAAACGTTTGCGCATGCGTGCATTTCATCACGTTTTGGTCAGTTTTGGCATTTTGTGAAGTCCAATTTATCAGGCATGTTTCAAAGTCAAATTTACTTATGTTTTGACTAATTTGCATACGAATTCAGAGCATGCGCAGACGTTTTTCACTCGTGTCTATAACAGCAATATAGAGAAAGTTATTTTATTCTAATAAAATATTAATACAATAATAATAATTTGATGGTAGATTGCCGGGAGATCGTTGATGTTGCAGTTCTCTTGGACGTATCCAGCAGCATGGAAGGACAGACTATGAACATCGCGAAATCGTTCCTCAACAATCTCGTCAATACCCTGAACATCTCGCGTTACGGAGCCCACATAGGTCTGATTACCTTCACCCACAAAGCGACTTTAAAGTTTACCTTTAAGAATGCTCTCAACAAAGGAGACTCCGTCGATGGCTTTAAGAACGTCATAAACGTGAGTGTAGAAAAAAGCTTTTAAAAATGAATATAAAGAGTTTGTTGTACCCTGGGAAAGAAAATATATATTTCCGTTACCTTCCCATTCCTACCCCCTTAAACTTTATATCATGAATCTCTAAATACGCTCTAGAAAACAAGAGTCATTTTGTCGTATCCATGTTTGTTCTTGCCCAGCAGAACATATCTGGCATGAGGGGCAGCACGTGGCCTGATACGGCCCTCAAGATGGCCGACAGTATTTTGTTCACCGAGGAAGGTGGTTCAAGGCCTGAGGTATCGAGGTTTGTTATAACCGTTACAGATGGATCGCTTCATCAGGACTCTGTTATTACTCCAATCATGCTCAGCTTACAGGTAAAGCTCCTAAATATACGTGCACTGAATAGAACCTCTATAAAGTGGTCACCTTTAGGCCATTGTTAAGTGACCGTTAAAAATAGGTTGGTCGCTTAATAGAGGTATAAATCTGTGTAAACATCCTCTTCGGAACTTTGACAACTGGCTGCTAAATAGAGGTTGGTCGCTAAATAGAGGTATGATTTACAGCAAAAACCATCTTTGGGACTCTGACATTTTATCGCTACTGAGAGGTTCTACTGTTTAGTATACTACAATCCAAAATGAAAAATGTTTCGTCTTTGTATTGTGGACGCGTCTTTGACTGGGGCCATCTTTACTGGGGGGAAACTGAGCCGGGAATTACGAGCTATTTCCTGTCAGGAAAGCTGTCATTTTCATTAGAAAGGAGGAGAATTTATTCGTCATTAACCATAATTCACATATCAAAGGGTGTGCAATCATCGAGTAATTGGGTAAGCAAGATTCTAAGATGTTTGGAGTCAGTGCCAAATGCTTGACTTCTTTTCAAGTGTTGGTTCCGATAGCAGGTTTTTACTTGGCGTCTCTAGTGCTGAGTCATAAGATATTGTGGTTTCACTTTGATGATTGTACTTTAAGATCATTAAAATGCGGAAAATGCGAAGCATTCGCCTCTGAAAACTTATTTTTGCGGGAATCATTTATTTGTGGAAGTTTTAAAACGCCCAAAACAAGAAATATTCGCCTTGTTGAGAATCCGTGGCTAGCTAACATCAGTTTTTGTCGAGAGATATTTGCTTGCAATTAGTTAGGGTATTTTCAGTTTTTTCGTTGAATATTTAAAGAAAAGCATAAAGAGGTTTTATCAGTGAAGAGACTAGTCGTGGTGTTGTGATATAAGTGATGTAGCTTGATCTTTTAAATCCTATGGATCGAGTCAAACGCCAAGTGAGTTTTCAAGTACTCTCTCAAAATCATAATAATCCTACCTCCTCAAATAGCTACCAGTGAATACCATGACTTATCGATTCCTATAAGTCGATACCTTAGGCTTTTTTTAGGATAAAGAACATTCTATATATAACATATTGGGAGGCTAGAGTCTTGAACAGACTTAGCATAATATCATACCGTACGGCACGTACGACACGGTTATGGCACGGAATTGACCTCTTACGTGATGGCAGCCATGACAAGAGGCACAACAATAGAGTGTTCCCTACTGGGAAACTGAATTCTTTCTAACGTAAATCAGAATTGTYCTTTCCTCCTGTCATTGGTGCCATTACGTGATGGTGCAAAGCCTCTATTTGTATCAATATTCGGGTCTTCTCATGCGCAACCGTTAAACAAAGAAGTGATACTCTAGGAAATGGTACACGTGGTCTGAAATGGAAAAACATAACGCTCAAGGCAAAGAGGTCTATTAACTGCATGCTTTCAACTGTATCACAGTTAGCGCGTGGGGTTACTGTTTGGTATACTTAACTTAAACGAGGCAAGGCACGGTAACAGTTACGGAATTAACAACAAAGTCTTAACGAATCGCATAATTATGCACGATTACGACTTGCCCAACTAGGATACAGATCACGTGATGGCAGCCATGTTGTTTGGCAGCAATCAAACGAAAAAAACTATTTCTCAACTTGTTTCCTTCTTGTATCCAATATGGCTGTCGTCACGTGATCGTAAATTAGTTCTGTAGGATTTAATATTATATTGATAAAATCAATAAAAATAAAGATATAAATAAAACTGTTTGATATTTCAGTCGAGAAAGAAGGTCCACCTGATGTCTGTTGGTGTGGGTAGCGTCGTCAATGAACGAGATCTGGTTGCATTGGCATTGTCGCAGAGGCAGAATGTCTTTAACGGTAACCATGGTGACGCCGCTCAAAAAGTAGTTGACAGGATCCAAGATATTAGTCAAGAAAACTGCAAGAAAAAGATAACGTAAGTATTGTGTGACTGCTAGGAAACGTTGGGAATTTGAGCTTCTGCGCATGCTCAGATAATGGCCCTCGAACTCTGTTATTTCTAACGAAAATTCTCAAATAATTATATTTATTATATAATTACCAATGAAATATCTATTTTTCTCTATTTCGAAAAATTGATATCTTCACACGTGAAAATAACATGTTATTTTCACGTGTGAAAATAACACCATTGCGATGGCTATTMAAAAATACACGGAAAGAATTGCATGAAAAAGCCAAAACATACTTTCATTGATAATTATATAATAAACAGAATATTACATGGGCGTTTGCAGATACGAAATTTATCTTCTCGTGTTGAAAATCTCTCACTCGTTCGCTGCGCTCACTTGTGAGAGATCTTTTCAACACTTGAAGATAAATTTCGTATCTCCGCGCGCCCATGTAATATCCTCTATTTATCAAATGACCCGTATCTGACCGGGCGCGCGCTCTTAGAAAAACGTTCGGGAAAATGGCTGCTCGAAACCTGCGACAGTATTCTCTTTCTTTTCTTTTATTATTTTTCTTTTCGTGAGGGTCATATGATAAAATGTTTATTGACTGAGTTAGGTCGGGCCGTACGGGCCAAAAGTTTTCCCGTACGGCCCGACCTAACTCAGTCAATAAGTACATAATAGTGCGTAATAAAATGCTTTGTGCAGTTTGTAAAAGAAAACTGATTTATTTTTATGACATTTTTCTTATTTGAATTACTACGTTTAGAATTACAAGGAATAAGTAAGACACAAGAGAGAGTGACCACTCGAGACTTCTAGACTACAACAGTAAGATAAACGAAGAAAACTGAACTAGATAGAGAGGGAGATAGTCAACCACTGCGCATGCTCATTGCCCAAGCCCCATACACAAATTAATATGCTGTTTTGGTTTGTTCATGTTTGCTAAGCTACTATTAAATGTCCACAACACTCACTGCACATGCTCCTAGATGGTGACTTAATAATATTCATTCAATAACATTTTGAAAGTCGATGCTTGAAAAACAAAAGTAAAATGATTGCACGCGTATAAGCACCATATACTACTATTTTACATAGGTTTTTTCTTTCTTTTTCTTTTTCTTCCTTTCCTTTCCTTTCCATTCCTTTGCTTTTGTCTTTCCATTTGTGCTTGGGATTTTTGAACTTTTGTTTACTGGCACTGACAGTATAATAATAAAGTTAATTGACAAAATATTGTTTGAGTTTCTTATTTATAACACTCATTACACTCTTTTATGGATATACACAAACACACCAAGAAAGAGGCTGATGAAAGTATTAATTTACTTAAAATGTTGTCAGCGTTGAAGAAAATATCACCGAAAAAGCCGTTGTCTTTGCCATCTTTTTTATCAACTTAGTAAAAAACCATTAAGGTGCATGTTTTTATTGGTGACAAGAAATTTGATTGGTTAAATAAGAAACTGTCAAAAGCTATGTCATGTGACTGACACGGTTCATTTGTTCTTTTTTCGTCTTGTTTTCCTTGAGAAAACTGCTTTAAGAAAGCAAGATTTTACTTGGTTTTGGAATCCATTGTAAGCTTATATTAGCAACGCCTTGTAACCTATTCCTAGGGGAGTAGTACTACTTTATTTCTGCAAAGTTTCTACGCTTAAATCTGGGAGTAAAACTCGTCCATGAATTGAAAAGGTTGGTAAAAAAACTTGATTGAAACTTGCTCCAGCTTCCATGCTGTTTTAAGTCTTTAAAACTAATAAAACTACCCTTATTTATTATTCATCAAAGTCTCAGAAACATGAAAAACACTAGAAGAAGTAGTATTCGTGCAAATATGTTAAGCTTTTTGATATTTCTCGAGTTTTAAAGAAGCTTCAGTAAAGAAATTAGTGTGACATGACTTGACGTGACGTATCGTGACTAAAAAATATAATTATCAAAAAACATCTCAGTGGAATGTTTCTCCATTGTTTTAGAATGACCAAGGGGTTTTATTGTTTTATATTAAAATACCATTTCATTAGGTTGACACCTTAATCCAACTTCTTAAAACGGCATTTGAATTTGGCGCCTAAGGTAAGCAACTAAAATGCCCCGTATGTACCAGTGAGGTTCAAGATTCTGGTCCTAAGTCCTACGTATTTTAGACGAAAGAAGTCAATTAACTACCATATGTATGCGATACATTGATAAGGTTAGTACTGAATACATGTTTAATAATCTAAATAAACCGAATGACTAGTTGGTAGCTAGAAAATAGTCTCTGTTTTAAATGCATGAAATGGTTTGCTCAGTGTTGTTGATAAAAACTTAAAATTTATTTTTCACTTAACATTTGAAGCCGTGTAATGTGTTTCATAGAATACAGCTTCGAGTTAAGGAGTAACGAAAAACCTCGCAAAATGTCCTCGAGGTCTTTCATAATTGACTCAGAATGTTTTTTCTTCTTCTAATGACTAAGTTGCTCAAAAACATTCGCTTTGTACATGTTGGGCTACCTGTGAGATTTATAACACAGGTAGCCCACTCCGCAATAATTGCAGTACAAGTGAACTTACTCTGGGTAAATGTGTTCTTAAACGACGTCTATGATAACGATAAGGTATTAAAACTCATCATAGTGATAAGATTGGGTTGAGTGCCAGGGTGCGAGGGGTGGTCGCACCTAACCAGCCCGTTCGCAGAGGTGACCATGGCAACTGGGCCACAGTCCACCGCCCACCTTGGCACTCGTCACACCTACCGCGGTGGAGATACTTACCGTGTCCTATAGTTTCTTTTGAGAGGTGGGTGGGAGGGAGAAATCTTTCCACAAGCGCTTGGCCAAACCACAAAACAAYGACAAAGCTGCCACACTGCAAATCCTGCCAATGCCCCTGAACCGAGATGGGCTCCCCCACACTGTCGCTAGGCGAAACCGCCGGCCGGTTGGACTCGGTTTTAACTTTGCCTAAATTACATTCACGCTCAATATAATTTGACCATATTTTTGGATTTTCAAAGCTGCGCATGCGCATAGTGTCACGAACCGCGGTAACGCGACTTGCAGGCTCCGGTAGGAATGAGAAACGCAATCCGTCATGTTACATGAGAAAATGATTTCATTAAATTACTCTAGAAACATGTTTTTTGGTAGCAATTAACTCATCTAACGTCAGCGAGGCCAGTCTTTCATGCTGTCGCGAATGTCACGGATCTCGACATGTTGCCAATGTTTCTTTGTGTCATTTAAAACCAAACCTGAGTCACTGTTGCCAGAAGTAGATGACAGATTCTTCTAGAGAAAGAAAATATCTTGATGGGTCGGGTCAAAATATGATCATTCCTCTGTAATTCATGCCAGTTATAAAGTATTTTTAGTCCATACCACAGGAAAACTACAAAAATGAACAAATAATAGTGACAAAAATAGACAAACTAATTATCGATATCATTTGACTATCACTCTAATTTAGGGTAAAACTATTAGGAAAATTACTGTGCGCGAAAGTTAGTTATTCAGTGATTAGAACTTACTGCGTCCAGCGTCCTGCGTTGAGGTATTTATTCATTAATTTATTTTATTTATTGCTATCAGTCTATTTATTGCTATTTTATACTTTAGTACAGATAAACTGTTTTATATTATCTTGAGGATCATTTATTCTAGTAACGGTGTCTTATAGTTCTCTATAGCTTTACTGGCAGTTTTATTTGGGTTTGATATAAACATCTGATAGGCTGTAATAAAAAAAAGCAATTTTATGATGTCCCGGGGGAGGGGGGGAGGGTACTCTTGCCCGTTTAGGGTAGCCGGGTGTGCTGCTGAGCCCACAACCCTGACCCGTGTTCCAGAGTAAAATCGCTGAAATTCATACCCTGTTCCAGAGCAAGATCGCTGAAAAACATACCCTGTTCCGATATTGCGAAAATGGATACCCTGTTCCAGAGAGGATAGAGAGCGTGATTTCATATACCCTGTCCCCGAGCGAGCGCGATTTCATATACCCTGTTCCAGAGTTTAGAATCGCTGCCAAAATATACGCTGTTTGGCGGCACGTACCCGCATAGCGAATATAGGAGAGTACCTCCCCCCGGTATGATGTGTATTGTTAGTTCTGATAGACCAAATTGACAGGAATTAGATCTTTCCTCAATGTCAAGATCAAAAGTCTACTCGATGAAAGTCATAAACGTGTCCGACATGCGAGAGTGAAAGTTTACTCCTGCATGAAAGGCCAAAAAAATACGAAAAGGAAAAGAAAACTGGCGTTTTAGCATATCCAGGCTTTGTTCAGTATTTTTCTCCTCCAAAATTTAATTCTAAAAATAGAAATTAATTAATTTCGTTTACATTATACCAATGTCGAATGCCTCTACAAAAAACTTGAAGGCATTGATAAACGATTTTTTTTCAGTGAAAAATTCTTTCTATTAAATATTCCTTTCTCTTTATATTTCAAAATATATTTGCTTCCGTTGCTACTGACCTTCATAACAAACATATTGATAAAAATATTGATCACTTTAGCGCGAAAATAAACAGTGAGTCATACGGATCGTTATCATTATGGTTAAAATTATCATTATGTTATTGCGATGTTACAAATGTTATTGCTCACGGATTCTGCCTCGTTTATTGTGCAAATCCCACGGTCAAGGTTATTGGATATCATCAATAAACTATATGCTCAAAGTCACGAAACTTGCCGCACTTTCATTCGTTCAACAACCGTGAGTTTTTTACCTTGAAGCAACTATGAACAATTAGTTTCCGATATTAAAACACTACGTACCATTCATTGCACTGATGAATAATGTCAACAAATTCCTAGGAATTCCAAATACTTGTTAATCCAGTGCGGAAATGTTAAGTGTTTATCGCTCAATGTATATTAATAGTTGCGGTTCAAAAACTGATCCGAGTTTCGTACGATCCTGAGGCTTGAGCGGCTAAAAATAATACTGGGTCAATACCCTGTAGATACCAGCCCATCGGTCTGTCATATCAATAAAAACAGACTAGCTTTATTCTTTGAAATTGGTCTGCTTAAAAATAGAATGCGTAAAAATAATAGGTTTTTACTTTCGACTCTCAATATTACAATCAATATTCTATTTTCGTGGCTGTATCAGTTTTTGGTTGGTAGAGCCAGTTATAAATCATTTAGTCATGTTTTCCCCTTCCGTGAGAAATGTTGTTGAATTTCTTTATTTATGTGAATGAAACACATGTAAATCTGTGGGTTTTTTTCAACTTGCTGAGCTACTTTATATTTTATTATTTTGTATAGTCTCTTTCTTTCGTTCTTCCTATCTCACTCTTTCTCTTTCTTCCTTTCTTTCTTTTTTTAAATTTTCTTTCTGGTTTTTTTTTTGTTTTTGTTTTTGTTTTTTTCCCCACTTCATTTCCTTCATTCTTTCTTTCGATTACTAATGCTTGGTAGAAGTAGTTAAAAAATAATCATTCCTTTACCGCAATATCCGTGAAATGCAGAATACTCAGTAGACAGCAGACTTCCCATCCATTTATTTTCAGCATTTTTCAGTAGTATTTTGAAACAGGAACTGACAACGCCCTGTGTGGTTACATGACCGTTATTTTTATCCTAGCTTTATCAGCCAGAAGCAAAGACCCACCATCTGGGGGTAGATTTTATAAATTAGATAAAAAAAGTCTGGTTTCTTATCTGCTACTAAGATTTCCTTTATTCCGACAAGGATCAGATGTTGCTGTGAAGTTGGTTTATCTAAAAACATGCAATATACAAGCCCTTAATGTAAGCCCTTCAGTTAATTGCTTTTTTTCCTTTTTTCCTTTCCTTTTTTTTTTTTTTTTCTTTTCTTTTCTTTTCTTTTTTTTTGATATCGTGTTTTGTAAGATTAAGAATTTCCGCAGACTAGAGGCCCCGCAGGCGCCATAAATATTTAACATCAAGAATCAGTCGAGCGTGCATCATTAACTT